TTTGACTTGACGTGAACAGACGTTCAGAAATAGAATCGGGACCAGGTCTGTAATTAATCTGGAAACGGGGGACCTAATTCTTGCATTCTGTGAAAACGGGTAAGATTGGCTATAATGTAATTATCTTAATCTTCACTATCGTTACTTTTTAAAAACCCAGCAAAGCGGGTCCTTGCAGCAAAATTCTAGATTACTTAGAAAAACAGTCTTTTATATATAAAAAAAACTATATTATGTACAAATGTACGAACAAATAAAAACCCAGCGAAGCAGGTCCTTGCAGCTAGTGCCATATATTTTTGGATTTCCTTAATAATAAATTTTAGAAAAAATAACCATAAGTAACCTCTCATGTTTTTTCTTAACATCGCAATTGTTTTTATTAAATAATATTTTGAATTTGGGGTAAAAATTAGTTTAAAAGTTCAATAGAAAGAGAAATATTTCTAGTCTAATGTTTCCAGCCTATTTAGAGACTATCTTTGGAAAATATGAACACTCAAAATCAGAAGAGGTTCAAAGATAACATTCAAATTAAAATATCTTTTGAAATTTGAAATGGTTAATATAAACAGCAACCAGTAATCGTCGTAAATATATACAGTAGAGCATCGATTATCCGACCCCTGATCAACCATCCCATCGGTTAACCGACCATTCTAGTCAGCAAATTTCAAATGTCCGCTAGTGAAATGGCACTACAATATTTGGCTATGTCTTGGCTACTTTAATATTATTTTTGTTAAATGTTTACGTGTTTTAGCTGGCAACATGGCTTGACTATGAAAGGGAGGCCAGTATTTAAACGAGGCTTAATTTTCTATTTATAAGTGGTTGTTTGTTTTATGAGCAATAAAATAATTTTAAAATAATTTTTAACGATACAATAGCAAAGATTATTATTTTTAAAAACTTTTGTTAGGCTTAACATCGATGAAAATTCAACGTGAAGTAGGTTAATAGCGATATACTAATATACTATACTAATAATGTATTTTTTCATACTATTCGGTTATCCGTTTTTTTCAGTTATCCAACCAACCCCAGTCCCCAACTGAGTCGGATAATTGATGATCTACTGTATATATTAAATTAAATATAACCTAGGATAAAACATCAACAAATTAATAACTATAATTAAAATTATATATATCCAAGGCCCAGACATTTTATGATGATGAATTCTTCAGGAAGATATATAACTTATGTCAAACTTCCATGTTGTAAAGAGTGACTCTGCATCCCTTGCATTATGGTACAAATTCTTTAGTTTCAACCTATAAATTATGATTTTTCCATCATAATTCAGACATGTGGTGACCTTATGCTTCTGATTACTCTAGTGCTATTCCATAGGATCTAATTATCTTCTGCATTAGTATAACAAGCCAGTAATGCATTATTTCAACAGTTATGAGTATCATATTCATGTCTGTAGAGCTGTTGAACAAAATTCCTGCTGATATATCTTACATATGGTGTATTATTCCCTAAGCTATTGTATTCTGTTGGTATTACGTATATCCTGGGTTTTGTGTTTATCTAGGATTTTGTCCTTACCATTTCTTAACCATATGTAGACTGAGATTTTGTTTATATGTTGCAGTCAAAACCCATTTTTAGTTAGAACGCATTTTATTAACTAGTTGAAACTAGTTTATACTGATGTCTTTGTTAAAACCCGTTTTGTCTAGTTAAAACTAGTTTTAACTCAAATTCATTTTTGACTAGCAGTAAATTCTAGTTTTAACTAGACAAAACAGGTTTTGTCTAGTTAATTTACTGCTGTACATGTTTTGATTTTAGATAAAAGTAGTTTTAACTTTAAACATTTGTTAAAACTAATTTTAGCTACATAAATATGTTTGGGGAAAATAAATAAAGTTATAGCAATAATTTGGGTTTTGGAGGACTCTAGCGAAAATATCATGTTGTTGAGTATGTTTTTCAAATAAAACTTTGGAGTATATGAAAAATAATTGTATATTGTGTTTGCAATGAGGACTTTTTCACTGTCTGGCATTTTAGTCATCTCACCCCAAGTATCCAGGTGAGATGGCAAATGCCATTAGGCATTTGGCATCGCACCCTCACAAATATAATTGCATAAAATTAATTTTCGAATATCTTAACCAAATTTAATTTATTGCATATGTAGTACAAAGTACTTCATAGTAAGTATAACAGCACAGTATAAGTATTATTAAGTTTCCGCCCATTCTAACATGCTCTATGGCTAGCTGAAAGCTTTTTTCAGTCCATAAACCTTTTTGAGAAGTTCTTATATAATTTCTATGCATATCCTCAATAAAACAAGAAAACAAAAATTTATTAAAAATAGGCATATTGGAATTCAATTAACAAAAAGTAGGCATGTTACCCCAAGAAAAATGTGTTCTAGTGGAGTCACGTGTTCTAGCATGTCCGATCAGGATCGGCGGTAGCTGACAATGAAAACTTTAGAACCTTAACTACATCACAGATTAATTGTTTTTTGCAATTTTTAATAAATTCTATTTTAACTTTTAATTTTAAAATTACTCTAGAAACACAACAAAAACTTCGTTGTTATCTTGCTTTAATTCTTCTCAAATGTAGAAAATGAGGTAGCAGTAGCCAACTACAGCTTTCCGCACTCAATATTGGCCCAATGATTCATCATACAAATACATGAAAATATGTGATGTCACCGTTTGAAAGTATAAAAATTTAGGCATCTTCCCCCGCTTACCATCTTACCCCGAATCACTCTATATGTTGCAGTCAAACCAGTTTTTAGTTAGGATGCGTTTTAACTAGTTGAAATTAGTTTATATACTGAATGTTTGTTAAAACTAGAATTTACTGCTAGTCAAAAATGAATTTGAGTTAAAACTAGTTTTAACTAGACAAAATGAATTTTAACAGAGACATCCAGTATAAACTAGTTTCAACTAGTTAAAACATGTTCTAACTAAAAACAGGTTTTGACTGCAACATATACACTATTAAAATCATAAGATCCCAACAGCTTTATGTATTCAAGCCATCCTGGCTGAATAAGTAAATTTAAATATATTTCAAAAGACACATTTGTTTGGAGTTTCAACCCCCATTACCATAATGTGCTTTTATGAGATGCTGAATAGTATCCAAGTAGTTGCTTCTTATATACAAGTATGTTTGTTTGCTATCTGTGATATCCTGTTTAACTCTTTGTCTCTATCTTCAATCCTCATCTATTGAGAATATGTTCACTGTCCAGGCCTAGTATAAATGTTTATGGCTATTAATTTGTTAATGATAGTGTTTTATCACAGATTATATTTAATTTATATATTTATGACATTTATTTGTTGTTATTTAATATTAACTATTGTGAATTTTTTATTTTGTAAGAATGTTACATTGGAACATTTTCCAATTTTTAAATGTTTGGGTTTGAATTTCTTGAAGATGGTAAATAGACTGAAAACATTAGACTTTTAGAAACATTTTTGCTTGTTTTGGTGTTGAACTTAATGAATAAATTGATTGTTTAAATGCAATAAAAATTAAGATTTTATTAACATTACAAAAAATTTTTATAAGTAAATATTTATTCATAAAATTATTCAAGGGTTGAATAATGTTTAAAAAGCATTCATTATTTTAATTTATATTGGAAAGCACAAGATTTCTGGCTAAATTTTTGTTTTGCTTCAATTATAAATAATTAATATTCTCACATTTGTACAAAATATTGTTTTTCATAATTATATAAATGACCAGAAAGTGAAACTCAATAAATATAATTACTAATACTGTAAATATAAAATCATTAAATTCATATATATTACAAAACGTTGTGTTAAATAACATAATTTAACTGTATTATTATACTATAAGTTGTAGCTTAAAGTGCTGAAGAAGAATATATCTAATAGTTTAGAATACTTTTTAAATAAGCCATATGGCTGTCAGATTTTCATCATATTATTATTACAATAAGTCTGCTTATTATTTAGCCTACTTTAGCTAGGACATACATCACAATTTCCTGGTACACCTGCCTCAGAGCCAAGTATGAAGAAAAAGCTGCTTGCCTGTTGTGGATAACTTCCAATTTGTCTAGAAAAATCCTCAGGGCCTGTAAATAATCATTTCCTAATATTATTTAATTATTTTTAAACAAAATTGTAATGTAAAATATGAATTTCTTTAAAAATAAAATGTTTTAAGGTAAAACACTATCAATACCAATTTCAATAGAACAGACATAACTCATAAGATAAACTGAATTATTTTATTTATTTATGTTATAATTATGCATTTTTGGCCAGTAGACTTTGCTGGCCCTTCTTCAGACTATTTGAATAAAATAAAATATTACTATAGTAGAGCATCAATTATCTGAATATCGATCAACTGAAACGTGAATTAACCGAAAGCTTTCCAGTCAGCAAATTTAAATTTCCACTAGTTCTGTGGCGCTGCAATCTTTGACTATGTCTTGGGCTACTCCAATATTATTTTTGTTGGTGTGCGTGTTTTAGCTGGCAGCAGTGGCTGCGACCATGAGAGGGTACTTAAGGACGTGCCAGGATTTAAACAAGTTTGAACATGGGATAGGTTAATATATTTTTTTGTACATACTCAGTTATCTAAAAAACTGATTTTCCAAATCCCAGTCCCCAATTGGTTCGGATAATTGATGCTCTACTGTATTATATTAATATAATATAAAAAATTACTACTTACAATAAATACTACTTACTCATTATACAAAATTTTGCATTCTGACAGTTAGATGACATTTTAATTTTAAACTTATTTTTTTTTTTAATAAATTTATTTATTTACTTTCAATTACAATAGGAAAAGTCTCGCAACATTAGATTTTTTCCTCTTCATTAACAATAAAACCCCAATAAAATACATAAAATACAATGAATAAAGTACAACAAAGCAAAATAGAAGTAAATAGTATAAAAAAGAAAAATTAAGAATTGTATAATAATCATTTAAAATTAAAATGCTGTCTAAATGTCAGAATGCAGCATAATGAGTAAGTAGTATTTATTGTAAATAATAATTTTTATATATTATATCATAATATTGTTTTATTTTATTTAAACAGTCTATAAAGAGACCTGAAATGCATAATTATAACATAAATGAATAAAAAAAAGCCTGTTTATCTTCTGTCCCATTAAAATCGTTATTGATAAAAATCCTATACAGTGTTTTATTTTAAAAAATTTTATATTTTTACATTTAAAAATTACCAATTTAGCAACTTAAAATCTTTTCACAAAACTTTTAAGAATATCATATCTTCCCAATGGAAATAAGTATATGTGTACCCCATTTGTGATTATTATGAATGATAAGAAAACTGCATTTGTTTGTATTTGAAATGAAACTCATTTAATATATAAAGTACTCTACTTGAGCTTTAACTGACAAAAAAAAAATTAACCCAATCACTGTAATAGGCATCTCCATATGCCCGAAAACATTATTCCTCTGAAAAATTGGAGGCAATAAATTTACATGCACATTCATCAGACACTGGTCAACTGGACATGCAAATTTTTTGCTGTTTTATGTATTGCTCAGTTGAAAATATGCAAATGAAGAAAACTATAAAATCTTGTGTAGTCTCTTCACTGTCCAAAGTGTGAAAAATGGCAAGACAGGCTAGGACTGCAAGTATGCTATAAGAGCTTCCAGAAATGACAAAATGGAACAGCAATACAACAGATTGCTTGGAAATTGTGTTTGAACAAATCTACTGTCATAAACAGTATATACTGAAAACAGTTCTATTGTGCCTGAATGCAGTAATAGCAATCACCAACAACTACTGTCAGGGAAGAGCAAATTTTGCATCAGCTTATGATGAAATACCAGCCTGGAACGTTTGTGGAAGCTGCCCAAAACTGTGGAATAAACGAATAGGCCAACTTACATCTTGATAAACTGCTAGCAACAGCTTATATGATGTAAGTTATAGTTCATACAAGAGTAAGCAAAAGCCTCATTGACACCTATGTGAGCAGTTTACATTAGATAGGGCCCATCTGTCTTGGACTGAAATTAAATGGTAGAGAGTAATTTGGTGTCAAGTTGCCCTCTGGAAATATCAGATGTAGAGTCATCCAATGGTCAAACAAATGACTCATCCAAAACTTTTGAAGCAGGAAGTCAAGTTTCCAAGCACAGTTCAATTGTGGGTGTGTTTTGAGTATTCTGGAATTGGTGATTTGGTTTTATATGATGGGTATGTCAATATGCATTGCTACTAGGCAATTTTGCAACAGCATTTACTACCTTCCATAGTCCATCTTCAGCCATGGGGAGATGCAATCTTCCAGCAAGATCTTGGTAAGCTGCATACTGCATGCTCCACTAGTGCTTTGACTTTGCCAAAATCAAGTCTAAGCTCTAGACTGGGTTCCAAATTCACAATAAATACAACCTCACCATAAACTGGAACTGTAGAATCACGAATCACACCTAAATTCAAACTGTCCAGCAAAATAAGAGTCCAAAATTTTAAAGATCGAACGTTTTTGGTCACTAAATTTAATGGCCTTCCTCAGGAAATACAAACTGAAAAAATTCACCCAATCTGAACCCAACTGAAGACCTCTGGTATGTCCTCAAGAAAGAGATGTAAAAAATGCAAGCACAAAACAAAAGATTAGCAGAAGACAGTTTTTCAGGAAGCATGAACCAACATTCCACAAGATCTTTGCTGTGCCTAAAACACATCAATGCTTATGAAAGTTGCTGATGTGTATGCTGATGACATATTGGCAACTCGCCAATGTTGTAGAAAACCCATGATGTCATAATTGTACGCAAATGCTAGGTACACATAAATTTATTGCCTCCAATTTTTCAAAGGAGTAATGCTTTCAGGCATATATAGATATGCCTGTTGTAATGATTGGATCAATTTTTTTTGTAAATCACAGCTCAAGTAGAGTACTTTATTTATTAAATGAGTTTCATTTCAAATGCAAATAAGTTCAGTTTTCTTACTGTTTATAACAACCACAAATGGGATACATTTATATTTATTATCATAGAGAAAATATTTCAGAATTATGATATAATAAATTTATATTGAAAAATTTAGTAAAACAATAATATAATAAACTATAAAGAACTAAATTCTTCATGCAAATGAAGGTTTATGAAATAAATAGTAATAACAATGTTAAACATCAAAACTATTTACAGAAACAGTTAAAACATAAATACATTTGATTTTAATATACAGAGCTTCTTCAGTTAAAGATGTTTTATGTATTATAGACAAAAGGACTTGTTTTTCAACAACTTTTATAAACATTTTTATTATCATTATTATTATTAATTTTAAATTATCTCAGTAGACAATTTAAGTACACTATATATAATTTTTAGCAATTGGCCTAAATTTTATGTATTACTAGCAGACCCCACCACGTGTTGTTGTGGCTCAAAATGTATCTATTATAAATGTATAACACTTCCCTGGGGGGGATTTTTTGAAAAATCTCTTTCTTAGTGTATATTCTGTTGACGTACCCTATTAAAATGCAATGAAAAGTGCAAAAAAACCACATCTAAAATAGTATAAATAGAAGCAAAGTTCTTTATGGTAAGCCTTAATCCTGTCCATCTCCCCCTCCAGAGGGGGAATTTCGACATGTATATTATATAAAAACATGTGCGTATTCGAATGCAGCGTTGTGTCAAAATTTCAAAGGAATCAGTAGGAACAAACGAACATTACATTTTTATTTATATAGATAGATAGAAGATGATCTGCTTTAATTCATCCTCACAGAAAAGCATAATGCCTCGCAGAAAAGCAAACTTAGATCGTCGTACTCGTAGCATCATCTGTCAGACATAAAAGCCTTAACCCTAGATGATATATTTTAATTTATATGAATGTTTAATGGAATAATATACAGCCTGTGTCCACCTTGAAGTTCCATTCTAAATATTGGTGAAAGAATTTTTGAAATCGGATGAGTAGTTTTGGAGATTACCCCCTACATACAAATTTACAAACATTACCTCTTTATAATCTATATATATAAAAATGAATGTATGTCTGTGTGTGTGTCTGTCTGTCCTTCATGCATTACCATACCATACCGTTTATCCGATTGCCGTGAAACTTTGGGAAGTTGTTTAATATACTCCGGCGAAGGTTTGTGGCATAGTACGATTGCCATAAAACTTCGGAAAGTTTTTTAATACACTCCTGCAAAGGTTTTTGGCATAGTACATTTATCCTACGATAGATGGTGCGCGTTTACACGAGCATTCGAGCACAGTGTGTTTGATCGATTTCAAATTGTGAAGACCATTTCCCCCTTCAAAAAATATCTCTATATATGCATTTGTGAACTGTTATTTATGATATTTGTAATAATTTTTGTTTAATCACTTTATTTCAACTTTCTTTTTTGCTAATTATGTATTCGCTCGAACTTCGTTAAAACCTCAACTGTACCCCGAACAACAACCGAAGCTGTAGGAGGAAATTCGCGTATTTTACTGATCTAGGTATTCTCCCTTTTTCAAACTTTAATATCGACTCGAAATAATATTGTAATAATAATAAGTTNCGGGTCCTTGCAGCAAAATTCTAGATTACTTAGAAAAACAGTCTTTTATATATAAAAAAAACTATATTATGTACAAATGTACGAACAAATAAAAACCCAGCGAAGCAGGTCCTTGCAGCTAGTGCCATATATTTTTGGATTTCCTTAATAATAAATTTTAGAAAAAATAACCATAAGTAACCTCTCATGTTTTTTCTTAACATCGCAATTGTTTTTATTAAATAATATTTTGAATTTGGGGTAAAAATTAGTTTAAAAGTTCAATAGAAAGAGAAATATTTCTAGTCTAATGTTTCCAGCCTATTTAGAGACTATCTTTGGAAAATATGAACACTCAAAATCAGAAGAGGTTCAAAGATAACATTCAAATTAAAATATCTTTTGAAATTTGAAATGGTTAATATAAACAGCAACCAGTAATCGTCGTAAATATATACAGTAGAGCATCGATTATCCGACCCCTGATCAACCATCCCATCGGTTAACCGACCATTCTAGTCAGCAAATTTCAAATGTCCGCTAGTGAAATGGC